GGGTAAAGGATCTTTTAGCATTTTGGGAAAAGCCTTATATTAATGCTCTCTGCGGCCCCGTTCTTAAATGGGTGCACACCTGCGCTAGACAGTATAAACCTGGGTGGAAGTGAATGTCCCCGTAATTCCCTGTGCATTTTCTAAAGCATCAGCTTCTCTTTGCAGCACTGCCTGATTCTCTAAGAATCCGATGATGAGCTTCTGTGATGTGAGAGAGGGCGAGAAGGAGCTGGGTCTATCTCACTCAGCTGTGCTTGGCCCGAGTTGCTGTCCTTCTAAAACCCCCCATCCCCTTACTTCAAAGCGAGAAACATAATGTACAATTTTTTAATGGCTCTAGACTAAGGCACTCAGGCTTTCTGTGGCACTGCGCCTTACCTCCGTGTAAACACCTAATCAAGATTGCCTGTGCTTCGACAATAGCAGCCAAATGCAATTCAAGAACCAGAAGGCTTTGAAGTCTTCCTGCAAAGGCCGGTTTGCTAGTCCAGGATAATGACATGTCATGATTGCTCGCCTTTGTTGTCTCTTTTCAGCAGAGAAGCAATTACGGGCCTCAATTTAATAGAATAGACATTACACAGCTTATGATGCTCAAAATGCAATTTCATTTGATCATTTTCTCAATTTGATTGGCATTAATAGAACAGTTCGGGGGGAAAAAAAATTGCGGGTCGAAGTTGTGTCCTGGTCTTCTTTCAAAGAGCTAATGCAGAAGTATGCTCTACCTGCCTGGCATACGAAAGCTGAGTTCCTCACAAGCACAAACATTTTTCCCCCAACTGAAAACCTTTTCCAGGGGAGTTCAAATCTGGGCTGGCTTCTTAATGTTTTTGCCCTCTCCTGTGTTGCAACTGATTGGCTCAGTCATTAATTAGTATTTGGATCAATGCAACTCAACAGGAGGGTTATTTATATGCGCTTACAACCATTAAAAGTTCCAGTGATGAACTTTGCTTGGTTTCATATTTGGAGAGAGTGCTCCTGTGCCCATCGTTGTCCTTTCCAGCTATTCTAAGCCCCAGATCTTGGCATGCAATAAAACCTTCCTAGCTGGAGAGACACATCACATCATGCTTAATCAAAATGTGTTTGCTATTGGCCCAGCATGCTGGTTGCATCCAGCCATTATGGATAATA